ACCAAAAGCTGTGCAATGCTTTTACTACTTTGAATAATGTTTAATGTACATAAATAATTTCACGTGTTAACATGGTAACACCACTCTAGGTGATAGAGCATGGATCAAGATTACTTGGGTCATTGGCAGCTATGAGAAATAAAATTCTGATAAGTAACATGGGCTGAAAAAGCTCATCTCACTCTTTTTAGCAGGCCAGCTGCTTCAGAGAAGCAGACCAGTACAAAAAATAAAGTAAAATAATAATAAAACAAATCTACTACTGGGATTCCCAGCCTCAGGTATTTTTCTCATGAAAACAGGACTAAGAGTGTATAATGAAGGGTGATCTCAGTGATCCTTGTGGAATGAATGGTTGACATATGAAAGCAACACTATAGCACAGCAAGAACAGCAGATATTTCGTAACTTTAATTAGACACTTCCTTTGTAAAATGCAGTTGAGTTCCAGATCAACATTTTTACACGAAAAATCATGAGTTGAGCTACTAAACCCAGTTACAAAAATATTTTCCTCCTGTAAATTTGTAACAAAGCAAGCCATAAAGTAGTAACATTTTACTCCCTTCTCCTTTACCTATTTTGAGATTAGGACTTGGAATATTAAAAAAAAAACAAAAAGAAGGATTTATGAGAAGGCTTTTAGTTACGGTAGAAGGTTATCACGCATTCTTGAGGTTTTCTTGTCCAATAGCAATTCTGTGGGTTTTTCTTACTCTCAAGGCCATTGTTTTCAAACAAAAAAAATCTAACCTTAAGAATTTCAAGGTGTCTGTAATATTTTCATTCTTTTCCTCCCTGCCAAACAGCATTCAAATACACTTCTAACTCAAGAGATTCCTTTTAAAAAAAGAACTTTCTGAGAATCTTTTAACTAATGGAGTCAGTATAAAAATGAGCAATCTTGTAACAGCTCTAAATTCTGACACACAATTCTAATCCATCCTCGCCAGAGTACTAAGCCTTGCAATCCTATTGGGTTTCAAAACATCTGGTAATATTGTGAATGTCCCAGCCCGTGACAAACTTCATCTTTTGAAGCATGGCTCATATCTATTCATAAGATGACATCTGAGGGAAGCAGTGTCTTCGGGAGGTTGTATTTTGTCTTGCATTGGACACACTTCACGCATTTCCAGAATATATACCCAAATTCTTGGCCTGTTTTATTTTTGATGAAGACAGTCAGTAATCTCTCCATTTATAATGTCTAAATTAGGTTACTATAAATCATGGATTTATGACAAATGAGATAAACATTCCCAAAATACCTTTTGGCAAAATGCTTTTGGACTGCAATTTTGCCAGATTTTTATTTGTCTGCAAAATTGTCATTCAGTCTATAGTGTATGGAGACATCATTTAGGTTCTGTCATACAACAGAAAAATTTTCTTATGTATAACTCTTTCCACACGTATAGGTTGCACATATTAGTGACTCCATCATCTTTTATTTGGGCTCATAAACTTACATACCACAGCTCGTAAAAAAATCTTGGGTTTTTCTGGTGTAGTATTTCTGGAGGTTTTTGTTCTTTCACCTACAAGGCATGCAAGAGAATTCTGCTATCCTCAGCTTCAAATTACATTTGAATTTTAAATACAGTATTGAAAGGTTGTTCTCCTGTTGTTTTTGTAGGTTAAGCTTAAAGGCTAAGATTTATTCCTACATAAAATGTTTTCCTCATTTTAAAAGAAAATTTTTAAAGAAAATTTACAGGACTGATTTTCTGTGGTAGCATTTAACATATTCCAGAGCTTTATTATAAGAAGACCAGTTGTGAAACACTCCTGAACTCTAACAGAGATCCCCAAATTAGCTGGGATTACATAAACCAAGACTACAAACTGTTTTCCGAAGCTTGCAAGATTTTCTAAACCAAATAAAAATGACTTATAAAGAGACAGGAAGCAATTAACAGTAGACTTTTTTTTTTTTTTTAAATGCAGAGCAGAAAAGAATAAGTGAAGCTAATCTGAGGAAACAATGACTTCAAATTTTCAGAAAAATGATTTCTACAACAAAGGCATAAATCAGTCCATGCAGTGCTTATAAATTCACAGAAAAAGTATCATAGAAGTGAAGACCTACTGTATCAAACATGCTACAATTTTTTTCTTCTGATAACAGCTATTTAGGTTAGGGCGTGACTTCTTTCTGATATAGTTGTGCTACTACAACCCCTAGTGTGGACACTGTTTACTGCCGTGAAGGCAATGCACTTTTTTTTCTTTTTTTTTTTTTAAAAAGCTTGTTCCTAAGAAGGTAAAGCATTAAGTATTTTATTTCATCACAGTCACAACCACAACGGGAGAGCTGAAACAGAAAAAGAGAGGGCAGTAGGTTATGCTACTTTACAATATACTGGCTCAGATGAACAGATGCAGTCTTCGTGCTGAGAAACCGTGAGGTATATTTCTTCCTTGCCCCTTGCACCCTCAATCCTAGGGTTAATCACATCATGATGGATGATTTTACAAAATAGTTATTCAATTTAAAAGGTTGCATTGCTCTTCGGTTCTTTATTTTTATTTTAAGATATATTCGTGTCCAAAGTCAATTACAGGTATTCCCACAAAAGCACCAATATTCTAAATTAGTCCTTACTGAGCGATACAGACAGGAAAAGAGATACTGGAAAAAAGAGGAAAATACTATTTATTATGTACAAATAATTTCCTTTAACTTTCCTAAATGATACAAATTCATTTTCAAAGAATGTTTTAAATATCAGCTTTTACCAAATGTATACCTGATCATCTCAGATTGCACACATAGGAGTTTCTGACTCTTCTGACATACCTGGATAGCATTAATCCTTTTAATAAAGTCATTATATACAAACTCAGATACATCTTCAAAACTAGAACTTATCCACACAATTAACAAACAAAAGCACATCTCAAAAAACAAGGAAACTCATTCTCAGTATATCAAAAGTGAATTTGAAATAACATTATTTGCTTTTAAAACAGAAAAACACATAGCAGCACTGTTTGTACACTAGTATCTCTTTGCTTTTAAAATATAAATATGTATTTATTACGAACAGATGGTGGCCAAGAAAGGTATCAACTCTGTCTTAGCCAGAAGGTCAGGTCATGGCTGAGAGACCAAAGAACAATTACTGTTTGCAATTTAGTGCCATGTAAGATAAAACATCTTAGGTTCACCTTTAAATACACTAAGTGTGATTAAGCTGTTTTCATTTTACTTATATGAAACAATTTGCAGTGACAGTGTTTGTAAAGCTATGCTTTAAAACAAGAAGAAAAAAAAAAAAAAGGAATAAAACATAACTTTTAACACATTAAATAATATTAAGACCTATACAGAACTTTCTTGATTACTAGAGCCTCACCAATGAAATAGCTAACAGACACTGAGCCTCAGTATCTAAACAAAATAAGTTTGTTTTCCATTGTTTTTGTTCCTACTTTTCTTTTACAAAGGAACCAACTATGGTATTTGAACAATATAGTTACTTTACATAATTACTGAATTACTCTAATCTCTACTGGTAGGGATTCTCCCTCCATCACCTTATTGTAATTATATCAAATTACCACATTTTAGTATACTCATTCCCACAATGAATAAAATACTATTATGTCAATACATGAGATTAGAATATGTTGTTCAATTTTGCAATTTGTTCAAAAGGCAATCCTGAAGCAAGTCACAGAACAGGATTTAAAATCCAAGTTGCTTCTTCAGATATCCTATTAAACACATCCTGTTTTATTTGTATGCCAAGATTATGCCAACTCTCTTATCTGTGATATCTGTCAAGGCACAGACGACAAGCCTGCTTTTTGTTTTTCAAAGTGTCCTCAGGCCTAAGGGATGCAGGAGGATAGAAAAAAAAAAAAAAAACAGAAAAAACAAGCCTGAAAACAAAAGGCTTTGGAAGGCCCCTGCTCTTCTGAGCTATATGATTTTTCAATACATATTAATGAGTTATTTTACCTAATTAAGTTTTTTATTTTATGTATCTTTTTTTTACTATAATTTGAATCAATAACATTTCCAGTCCAAACTCGTACTTAATTAAGTTAATAAACTTATTGTCTACATGTACATTTTGGGCAACTGGTAAATAAAATTAAATTTTAGAAATACTGCATTTTTTTCCACGTATGTTCTTACACAGGGGCTGATTTGCTCACTTATTTACAAGTGAAAGAATGATTTAAAACTTGTTGGATAGTCTGCTCTATGCACAAAATTCATGTAAAAATTTTGTTTTCATGCATCTTATGCACTGTTCTGTGTATTCAAAAGAAATTTACTCTCGTGAAAAATCACAATTTTGAAGGAATAACTGGAAGTTTGAATACCTAAAGAAAAATGGACAGAACTTCGACAAAAAGGGCACTTCAAAAGATGCAGACTACACCAGTTTAAGCTGTTTGCCAAGTATGTTGCATGTTATTCTAACAATATTCCTTACTGCAGTGGATGTTTTTTTCACCTGTAAAGCATATACTGGTTTTTGTATACAGTATAAGAGACAGTTTGTTTTTTAAACTTTTCTATGAAGCCCAGCATTCATTAGACTTGAATCTTTAAAGAAACTGGAAGACAAATGATCTTCTTTTTTCCTGGTACAGTTAGTTTATATTTAAGACTTCTTAGTGTTTTGTCAAGCTATATGTATACCTAGTTACATGTGATTTACTTGTTAGAAAAGACTGCATAAGCATATGTATACAGCATATACAATTCAAGTACGTTGTATGAATTCATATGCTAAAGTAATTCTGTATGAAAGCATGGGATGAGTACTACGTAAAACTTAACAAATTAGGGCTGAAAACAAGAATAAGATTACCAAGAGGTATTTACTTAACAGTAATAGCTGGCTTGTTGCCATTAATTCAGAAACCATTTAACAGTAATAAATGACCACTATTAGAAAAATGAATCATTCCAACTTCCGAAATAACCCTATTTAGGCTTCCAATAACTGCAAAGCTACAGCAGTATCATCTCTTACCTGGTCCTTAATTTCAAGCTGCCTTATAGTTTTTGTTCTGTACTCTCTGAGCTCCTTTTCTGCCTCATCCTTCTTCATTTTGGTTTGATTCAACTGATAGCGCATTTCTCCACACACCTGTTAGATTATACAGACAACATGATCCGTAGCTTGAAGAGCCAGGGTTTGCAATGAGATCTTTTGGTGCCCTCTAGAGGTCATTTAAGCGCAAGATTTTAATTTACTGAAATTTTAAGACTACATATGGTAAATGTTTTTTACATAAAAAGCAGATCTGAATTCTCTATATAGTGATTAACTTTGAAATATGCACAGCCTTCTACATTCAATTATATTTGGATCAAGATTTTGCTAACTATAAATATTTATGTTGTAAATATATGTGCCACTAAATACTGTTAAACTACTGTCACTTTTATATTCTTCTCCCATTCTTTTTGAAATCTCAAGAAAGTCTATGTGAACAACCTAGAAGTAAAGAATCTATCATACTCCTATGTAAGGACTGTTTCTTGTCTTGCCAACTCTCTGCTGTTAAGAAAAAAAACATTTAGATGTTAATACATTAATTTTCAAAGTTAGATCAGAGCACTATAGACTTGCTAAAAGTCAAAGATAAGTTATTTTAAAAATGCGTATTTCTACCATATGCACGGGCCAAAAGAAAGGTACTGAAGCAACATTTGAAAAAAAATAAAAGATCACTCCCACAATATCAACAAGTATTCTGTGCTGTTGGGATGTTCACTATCTGAACCCCTCATTGCTTTTACATCTGAAAGGTTGCTTTTACATCTGAAAGGTAGCTTGACTTCAGAAGTCTTGAGGGAGGCTAACCCCTCCCATGTAACTACTCTGTGACAATATTACTCTCCTATTTCTTGACTTAATGGGTTTTATTTAAATTTATCTGTTAGGAACCGAGAAGGATAGCAGAGAAGCTGTCTCCTTTTCACTTTCCCTGGCTAATTACCTCCAATTTGTGGCTATTTATTTTATCTTAATAATGAACAAAACAAAAAAAACAAAACAAAAAACAGAACAAAAAAATATGCAAGATTGCTTTCCCTCACAATCCCCAATGAGAACAGTTACTCTCAGAATTTTCTTACCAACTCACACCTGCCCTGCTTATTCTCTTCCACAAGACTTGCTTCTTAAATAGGCACATTTTTAACATGTTACTGGCCCCCTGCACTTCTTTACAATTTCCAGTCACACATTCTACAAGACAAATTCATTTTGACCGTTCAATCGCATCTCTCTTCTCATTTCCATATTTATTTCACTCTTAAAAAGGTACAGGGGAAGTAAGTATGCATACAACCATCAGGTACCTTATGAAAAAAACAATAACAAAAGGAACTGTGAGAAATGCTTGTGTCCAATAGCCTGAGCTCAGGCAGAATTAGCTATGAATCACAATTTATTTCACGCTTTTGCAGAAGTGAACAACCTTCAGAGTAGAGAGGTGAATCAGAGCAGAGAGTTGCAACAGTTTATATTTCTTATTTCCCAGCACAAATTTCCTCCCACTCCCCCACTGGTTGAGTACTCCAGGGGTTTACAACCTATCTGACTCTTCTAATTCCCTTAGCAGTTGTCCCACCCCTGTTTACTGCTTGGTGAACCCCTCCTAATTCTTTTTTAGTTTTTACCTATTATGGTATGCTGACATAACCTCTCATAGTTAACCTTCCCTTCTGGTTCCCACTGAAATCACAGAACCAGTCTGTACCAATACATCTTCTCATGCTACTTAAAAACATAGTTCTTCTATTATGTTAGCAGGAATTTATCTTGTATCAGAGCTCCACGGCACCTCTTTAGACCTCGTTAGAGTCATAACATCTTACTATTATCCAAAACAACATTTCTTTTCTCACAGAACTGTTCTGACGTTAAGATACAGCATCACTTATGAATTAGAAGTATGAGAGGCAAAAAGGATCATTTTCTTGGAGGATAACTTGCTAATTTAGTCCTGTTGCAGATGATGGAAACTACAAAACACTATAAACAATGATATAGGTTTTTATCTGTTTTAATTTTTTTTTTATTATTTTTTTTTAACATTGAAATGTGACATGCAACTGAAAAGTCCTAAGCAGCAGCTGCACAGACCGCCAATCCTGTTTTTCTAATGGCTCCATTCTTTATAGTAAGAATGAACAAACTGTGACCTGTTCCTTCCTCTAAGCAAAATAAAAAACATGCAGCCATCCCTGCCTCTGGCTTCCCTGCACACAGTACACACTGAATAACACAGAAGGATCAGCAGATGGTGCTGTCCTAATAACTGATTTTCCAGCCTTCTAGTAGTTCAGAATGAAGGTTGAAAAAGAATTCCAGAGAAATCAAAATTTAGTGTTTTTATTAATAGCAAACCAAGCTTGGAAATGAATCAGATGCACAAGGGGATGTAAACATTATACAATCAATGACAGCAGTCATGGCGATGCACGCTGTCCCAGGAGCTCAACATTAGGACTTTCCTCCATAATTTTTAGTTGAGCTCAGGAACATGAACACACTTTTCCAGTCTCTCATGACAGTGCAATGAAAACACAGCATTGCCTATTGCAAAGGGATCACCTATTCAGCTTTGTATCAATTTTAACTCAAGCAGAGACTAGGAGCACAAGATTACCTCTCTCAGGAGATTGGTTCAAATCAGCAGGCTATAACATCAGTCAACTCAAATTAGTACATATTTGGATGTATTGCTTCCATCCCTTACTACCCCACCCTCAAAAGTAGCACTACAGCCATCCACAAATCTGGTCCAGAAAAGCAAAACTTTCATGTATCAGAAGAGGTAAAACAGATCATTTTTACATTCTTAAAATGACCTTTATTTCTTTGAGTTGAATTTGAATTAAGTTTTCTAGTGCATTTGATGGGCTCTTTGCTGTAAATTTTCTGCATAACTTTCACCTATTTGCAGCAGAATCGGCCACTGAGGAAGACAAACAGCTGACAATCTCCCCAGTGGAAGTGGAGGCCTGAAGAACAAATTGCTCCCCAAAAACCTTGCAATTAACTACTGGCTGTAGGGTTACCAAGCAGCCACAAACATTTCAAAAGGTCGTAACAAATTTTCATCTGCAGATTGTCTATTCTATATGAAATTAGCATCCCCTCATCTTCATGAAGTTGAATTAATTCCTACGATAAAAAAATAACTGCTGTAACAAGCTATCATTCCCCATTATAAGCTTCAGACTGCATTTTTTTTTTATTTCTCATGTCATAACATTAAGGCTCTAATGGGTTGAGAATTGTGCAGTATAGAGCACCCCAAACCAATACAGACAGACCTGATTTGCATATAAATTTTTTATACTGTATGTATATAAAACAGATCTAATATATATTTTAAACAGTAATTCTTACATAGAAGAAATATTTCTTTGTAGAATGCTTATCATCAACATTAATTAGTAAAGTACACTGCAAAGCATTTCTACAAGTACTTGAAAACCTGTAATTACAGGACAGGGTTGAATACTATGCATCTTATTTATACCTAATACAAATTATAATCAGAATTTGCATAGTCTGTGAAAAAGGAAGCTTAACTTTTGAATCACAAGACATAAAAGTTCTCTTCTGTAAAACTTTACGTGGAATCTTCAGAAGAGTTTACATTTGTAATCACGCGCTCTTTACCAATACAGAGAAAAATGGAGAAACAAAAAAACCTCTCATCTTCCAAGTCACAACAAGGAGGTAAAGCAATGTGCCTACCTTGTTCATCTCCATTTCGTGGGATGCAAGCTGATGTTGTGATTCTTCTAACTGGTTAACCAGAGAATTCTTTTCCCTTGTAATTCTCTCTACCTTAGCCTCTAACATGGCAACATTCTCAGACATGGCCGTCACCTGCAAAATAAAGAACACAGCAATGATGAAATTCAGCCAGCTACAGATTTAAACCCTGTAGGACTTTCTCCTTGAAAGTAACTGTAGCTATATAGACAAAATATACACCAAGAAATGCAAGAAAAAGCATAAATTAGAAATATAATAAAAATATTAACCAAATACAACTAAATTACTTTAATAATTGGTATGTTATTTTGAACTAATTTATCATGAGGTCATGTATTTGAAACTTTCCATTAGTCAGACTAGTCTTCAGAACTTGCTAACGTGATCAAAGTGTCATAAGCACCTGGTTGCAATACTTTTGCAGCTATGGAAGAACTATTTAACACCTTCTTATCTGTACTTATATGGATTGGTTTCAACAAAACAACATTCCCCCAACTATCTTTTGCACCAGCAAAAAGACAACTGCCATTTTAAGTATACATATTCAATTAATTCCAAGTTCAGACAGTACTTTCGCACTGAAAAATCAACGCATAACACAAAAAGCATATAGAAGTAGTATGCTAAAAATTTAATTAATTCAGATCAAATTTTACTGAACACTGGAAAAAAATGTAACAATAAAAAAGAGACAGTGACCCTTCAGCTATTTAGCCCTGAAGCTTACTAATGTAAGTGGAAATAATGGTGTCTGACAGTTCTAGGTTAACTTACAGGAATTCAAAGCCAAACCTAGAGGATTACATATTCGTAACTATCCTTCACTTATTATATATCCACCTGAATTTTGGAACATGCTCTTTCTTTCCCTCAAACAAATGACTTCTTAAAGAAAGTGATAAAATACTCACATAGCATACAGTGCATCAAGTCAACCCTTATTTCTACCATTTCATTTTCCTGAAGCATAATAGCTAGTTGAATAATACTAGACTTAAATCACACATATAGATCATAGTTTTCTAGAAAGTCACTCTGTATCTTTCTTAATTACTAAGAATGACATCATCATAGTATCAATATGCAACATTTAATGTGTATGTGGGATTTGGAAAAAAAATTGAAAAGAAGAAAGACAGACTACAACTCCTAAGACTTCAGATCAGTTTCAGTAAAACACAGCACAGCAGTTTGTGATGAAATACAAGGTGATGTACTGACATGAAGGAACGAATTATTCTGCTGAAAAAAAGTACAACATGCTTGTTGAATACTCTGTATTTTAGAGTGCATATTCTGCTCTGAAATAAATCTAAATGACTAAAGATGTAAGCACAGAATCATAGAATATCCCAAGTTGGAAGGAACACACAAGCATCACTGACTCCATCTCTTGGCTCTATACAGGAACTCTGAATTTCAAACACTCCTTGAACTCCGGCACACCTAAGGCCAGAATCACCACCCTGGGGAGCCCCACTCCAGAGCCCAAACATCTGGCCTACTTCTGCTGAAGAACTTTTTTCTAATCCCCAACCAGACCCTCACCTGACATGGCTCCATGCCATTTCCTTGGGTCTTGTCATTGCAACCAGAGAGCAGAAATCAGTGTCTTTGCTCCCCTTGTAAGTAAGCTGTAGGCCACCATGAGGCTTCTCCACAACCTCCAGTTCTTCAGGCAGAATAACTCAAGAGATCTCAGTCACTCCTCACATGTCTTGTCCTACAGACCATTCAGCATCTTCATAGCCCTCCTCGGGACACCCTCTAATAATTTTGTCTTTAAGGATAACTTCCAACAGACAGCAATGACTTAAACAAAAACCTGCTTACTGCTTAACGACGGCTCACTGTCCGCAGTTTAAGTTTTAATTTCTATTTGCCTTGCCAACAGATCTATGAAGACCTCTTGTAACAGCTTACTTTTAAAAATATTCAATCCTCATTACTGTACTTAATTCTTGTTTTTATATCTAGAATTGGAGTTGAAGACTTTAAATTCCTATGACAGCTTCAGAATATTATCTCACAATACCAGAAATACAACCATATTTCTCTTAGTTCTATGCTATATATGGTCATATTACTATATGGCTTCTTTCTAAAAAGAGCCAATAAATACAGAAAAAAAACTACAGTCAGAAGAGAAATTCACTGTACTATTCCCAAAATTCCACCATAAAATGATTGAAGATATTCTAAATCCAATGTCCTATAGGTTTACTGATGTTAGGATGAAGTTTCCTCTGTATATGTTACTTGGCAGAAAACTCTTGTGCTTTATACTCACATTACACTTGGATCTAGAAGTCTAAAGCAAGATTATGCTACAACGGTCAGTCAGTCTCGGTCAGTCAGTCTGAACATAAATAATGAGAGAGATTCTGTCTGAAAGATTCCATTAATATAAGGTTGTTTTATTTTGCTTTAAACAGGATTCCTCCACATTTCTGTAGATGGGCAAATTAAGTGTTGATCTCTAAAAAATACCATATTAAAATGCAATTACAATACTGTAGCTTTGATATATAATGTAAGTATTACGTAGCACAAGGTCCTAACCTTCACACATACAAAATTTTGAACGTTCAACTTGACAACCTAATACTATTCCTTATAAGAAGCTAGGAACAAATCACGCTTTAAAGTAGTATTAGCACAGATTTACTGAGATCGAAAATTCAAAATAGAAACAAAATAAAGGATGCCCAAACAGAAAGTTTAGAGAAATTCTATGCTCCTTGTATATACAAATAGGAAAAATCATATGCATACCATTGCTGCCAAGTTCTCCCTTTCTTTCTTCATTTCTTCCCGCAGAGCTTCTTTTTCTTCAGTCCTCTTATTGAGCTGGACAGCTAGCTCCTTTTCAAGACGATTCTTCTGGCGTTCCATTTCACTTTTCAGTTGCTCACACTGAACTAGAGCCTAATAAAGAAAAATACAAAAACAATTAGGTTTCTCTTACTCAAAAAATAAAACATTAAATTACTGCAATATGTATCTACTGTGTTCAGAGAAACCAATTCACTATTAGGATGGTTTTTGTTGGTGTTTTTTTGTTTGTCTGTTTGTTTTTGTTTTTTGTTTTTGTTTTTACCTTTTAATGTAGTTTGATGTTTATGCAATCCCACCTATTAACATCTAGAATAGGACTGACAAATTGAAAACAGACATACATTTATTTGTATAAACATGCCCTACTGTGATTTGTAATTCTAAATGCATCTCTGAATGCATTTAGAAGTCAGGGCAAAGAAGAAAGCACTTGCAGGGTATATTTTCCAAATAAGAAGCTGTTTTTCTACAGCCGATTACTTGCCTTTCATTTAAAACTCCTGAATGCACATCTGTAGAACCAGCCTCCTATACCCAGCTCCTCTCAAACTTCTGTTTTTACTATATGAGTAGTTCAAAAAGTTATTCTCTATGAAATCTATGCGGAAAACACTCCTGGATTTACTGCAGCTAAGCAAGTTTAGCCTCTCCAGATCTTCTCCTGCCTCTGAGGAACAGAAACAACTAAAAATGAGGAAAAAATGATGCTTTTTAAAAAATAAATACCTGATGTCAGATAGTCTGACAGGATAATGAAACTGTAATAAAGTGGGCTTCTAAATGCTACCCCCTCACATTTCTCAGGTGGACTTTTCTAAGTGGTTCTTTGATACTTACAAACAGCCAATTTGTGTTTCCCAAGATAAATACTAGTATTTGTAAAATAAATAAATAAATAAATACACCAGTCAAGCAAAAAAACCACCATACAGAACTGCTTTTCTCATATGAAAGACTTAAAACATTACTAACGTGAGCTAATCTGACTCATCATCTCTCTGTTGAGTAAAAACTTGTAGCTGCAATAATAACATCTAACAAGTATGTAGGATTTCAAGCTATGTTTTCTCCTACGAATCACAGACTCCATACACACATCCCTACAGCACTGGATAAGTAATATCAACCACTACTGCTTATTTGGTCATTAGAACCATTACATCAATCTTACCCAAAAACAAAGGCACTTCATTAAAAATAAATATACTTAAAAAACAAGTAACTCAATAATGATTAAAAAAAATAGAAACATCCCCAAACCACAACCACTCAATCCCATAGTAATTCACTAATAATACAGTAGATGTCACTAAATCTCAAAGAAATAATTTAGATCGATAATAATTATAGTAACTAGGGCTAGCATAAGCATTAGATCAAAACTGGTTTTGTCGTTATTATTTACCCCATGCCAAAAGCTTCAAAAAGCTTTTTTTTTTTTTTATTTATAACTCTGAAGATGAGAAGTCCTATATAATAACTAATCAATTCCTGCCTTGCACCAATTTGAGGTAAAACTAATTGTTTATAAATGTTTCAAATATTCTTTCAGGAGCAGTTCATAAATGTGATATTACCTGTGTGACCTATTGTAGGGCACTGCCTTAGCAGGGGGGCTGGACTCAATGCTCTCTTGTGGTCCATTCCAACCCCCTGACCGTGTGATTACAATTATCTTCCTATATGTTGTAAATGCCTTTGAAAAAATTACCTTTCAGTTTTTATCATCCAGCTCTGAAACCACTTAAGAATTTAAATAATGGCCTCAGAATGCAATACATCCCACAGCTTTGGATGACAACTTAAGAATCCAGAGTTTGTGTTACTGCTCAAAAGTATTCACAGTTTGAATCTACCACATCAGTAACAAAGGTTTTATGCACACATTCTCTCATTAGCTTGCAAACTAATTCATATTTATAGGAGTTTAGAATACTCAAAAGCTCTAATCTTTTTGATGACTTTACCTTTGTTTTTTCTAAATTGGCCTCTTCTGTCATTTGCACAGCTTGTTTAACTTGCTCGTATGCATTAGATTCTCTTTGCTGCATCTCTTTCATGTTCCGCCTCACTGAAACAAGTGCATCCATCAAATCATCTCTTTCTCTGCACATAAAAAATGAAAGAACATATTTCTTCTGTATCTTCCCATAAGCAGGGGAAAAGCAGGTGTATTAGATAAACAGATATTTACAGATAAAATAGATATTAACAGACAAAAGACAAAGATATTAAGTGAAGCAAGACTAAAACCAGTACAGGTTAAGCACAAAAGACAGAATATTCTTAGTATGTGCTGAGCTGTTAGTATCTATCACTTGCTATTGGTCTTATGCTTCAGGATGGATGGTTAGTGAAGCTACCAGTAAATCTGGAAGAAATCAGGTCATGAATGTGCTGAAGCTGAGTAACATTACAAAATATGAATCCATGTTTAAAAAAAAAAAAAAAAAAGCTGTATAAAATATCAGAACAAAGCAATATGGCATTACCCTGTCATTACGTGTAAAATAGGAAGGAAAAATTATTGAAAGAAAGGATTTAAGTTCCAAAAATAATTCAGATTATTGAATATATCAGGACAAAACATTAGCTCTTTGCTACTGTTACTATAACTGAGCTAAAGAAAAACACTCTTGGATTCTACACTTCTGCAAAACTTCTTTATTAACAAAAACTAAGCTCTATACCAAACCATATCAAAATGAGTAAAGTTAAATACTTAACTATTCCACTGTTTTTCATATGGTGAATGCTTTTCAGTTCTGAGAGAATAATTGTCTCCATCTATTTACAGAACAACTAGATTGAAAATTGCTGCTGTTTTGTCTGTGCATCTGCTGCATTGAATGGTAACACAGTTCCGCGTATTCATTTTAGCAGCATTTGCACAAACTACTTACTCCTTGTGAAAATATCTACTGTAGTATCTTTGTTTTAATAACTTCCATAAAGAAGTTGATTTCAGATGTTGCTGAGAGATGGTTTAAGAGGAAGAAATAAATCAGCTCAAATCTTTTGTTTCAAGCTGCCCTGTAACACAAGGTGACAAAAATGTACTGGCTGAGTTTCCATAGTTTCTGTGACAACAGTTTCTTTAAAAAAAAAAAAGAAAAAAAAAAGAGGAGATTTGGAAACATGATTTTTCAGCAACAGAGAGCATTCCCAGAAAATTCTTGGACTTGTGACAACAGAAAAATACATGAATCCTCCCAACATCCATATAATACATAGAGATCACATCCATTTGTCAAACAGTATGTATTATGCCCCTTCAGACTTCTCACTTCTAATTGACCCACTACCTCCTCTTCAGCAGAATCATTCTAAAAGTCTGGAAATCCTAAAAATCTTCATGTATCTGACAATAGACAGATGGCTGTTTAACAAACTTTGAGAAAGCTGCAGTATCCTGTCACTATTACTAACAAGTAAAAATGGAGAGATTTCTGAAGTGATGGACTAGCAGCATTTCTTTTCTAAAAAAAAGTTAATGCTTTCTGAATTACTGTATCTCATTACAAAACACATATACCATGTTCAGTTTGTGCAGTTATTTTCTAAACTCTTTAAATAAAAGCCACAATTTAAAAACAGCTGCTAAAAATAATTTGATTTCTTTCTGATTTAAAGGAAGTTGCCTTGAATTAGTTAGCAAAGTATTCCATCCCAAAGTCTGAACCTATTAAACATATTCAAGGAAAACAGGGATTTCTCTGATAGAGTGAAAGGTTTACCTGTAGAATTAGCACAATAAATACAAGCTAGCAGCAGTCTGGTGGGGGAAATCCCAAGGGATCACAATCATAAGATGAAGACTAACTTTCTTTTGCATTTGAAATAAAAAGAAAACTACCATGGATTTCACAGTGGCTTTGACCTACACTCATATTCTGCCATTAATTTTCATATTACAATCTGAACTTGGGACTCCATTGCCTTGTAAATGTCTCTACAAATACAACCACATTATAATCTGTGTGGTTTAATGTAAGCAACTGTTACTTCATGAGAAGCTAAATATCCCCAAACTTACTTCGTTACTCTCTCAATGGCCTGCATGTGAACATTAGAATGTGTCTGTGCCAGAATTGCCTCCTGCTGTGCACATTTGAGACAAAGACCACCAACTCGACTAGAATTTGTGGCTGAAACAAGTGATTTCTGGTGTTTTAACCTTGCTTCCAAATCTTCACATGTCTTCTGAGATTCTGAAAGGTGTTTCCTAAAAAGAAGAAATAAAGAAAAAAAATTTGAGCAACACCCAAACATTTCTACAAGCTACGCAAAATATAACAATAAATGCAAAAAAAAATTTTTTTTTTGCTGTAATAAATTCCATAATGTACATTATTTTACACATTTCAGTAGCCTGTGTAAAATTTTAACAGAGAAATAGCAGTTAAACTGTCCCAACAAAATTACTAATAGATAAAACAAAATTAAATTGTTTCATCTGCTGTGACAGAAAATAGTAAAGCCACATGGAAAATTTTAGATGCAACTTGTAGTCTTACATTTTTCCTGAACAGAAAAAAAAGGATTCATTATCAAAATAAACTTTGTAAATGCATTTATACAATGGCTATGCAAATATTTCAATATCCTATGAAAATGTATTTTTTTCCTGCTCTTATTGCTAATATTAACAGTAGCTCCTCTTTTCCACGCTACTCTCAAATTAGCCAGCAAGTGACAATTCTCTTCCTAGAGAAAATCCAGCACAAGTCCTTTACAGAGAGAGTGGTGAGGTGCTGGAACAGGCTGCCCAGAGAGGCTGTGGATGCCCTGTCCATCCCTGGAGGTGTTCAAGGCCAGGTTGGGTGGGGCCCTGGGCAGCCTGGTCGAGTATTAAATGGGGAGGTTGGTGGCCTTGCATGTGGCAGGAGGGTTGGAGATTCATGATCCTTGAGGTCCCTCCCAACCCTGGCCATTCTGTGATCTGTGATTCTGTGACATTCACTCTGATCGCTCTAGGGATAAACTTGAGGTCAACCCCAACGCCAGAAAAACAGGGTAAATTCTGTACTTCTCTCTGAAATTTATACCAGGTTCTATAAAGAATTTTCTCTAGAATTTCCAAGCATCTGTCATGGCAGGAAGAGCTCAGTAAGAATGCTGACATCAGGAAGTTCCAGACAAATGCACACTGTGCACATGAAGATCTATCTGACAAATTGTGCAATGTATCCAAAACTTTTGGTTTGTTATGCAGACCATCTGGGCAGCATACACATACCAAGTCTGACACATTCTGGCTGTACTGGATTTACTGAGCACATGATATGTATGCTGTACATATATTTCCTTCTGGGAAAGCTTCTGTGTACTTTTTTCCTATTTTAGTAGTAGGTCTATTAAATAGAATACACTATAGCCTGGACAGAATTTGCCCTGGGTATATCCTTGGACAGTCATGGCACAACAGACCTATTATTAAGAAGTCTAGGGCAGAAACTGATGAGTCCCGTGTAAATTCATAATTAAAGTTAAAAAAAAATAAAAAAATAGGGATGGTTCCATCTGAAAACAGTACAATTTTGCACTTGAAAGTGCAAAATCACCAGATCTCAAGTGTTTCAAAGCACTTACGCTTTCAAAGATCACACCCCTTAGGAGGAAGTGAGAAGTTTCAAAAAGTACCTTTAGAAGTTTTCAGATGATTTCAACCTCTGATCTTTCTTTCTGAATATATTTAACACTAAGCCAAGAGGGAAAAAAAGCCAAGAGGCGAGGTAGCTGAAATTTAAGATTCTCCTATACTTTGACTAGCACAATTGGCTTTGTACATTTACAATTTCACTACTGCAAATAGCATATTTAAACCAGTAACTCCTTTTGCACACAAACACATGTAGAATTACATAATTTTAGATAAATTGGATTAGAAATTATTTGGGGAAAAACATAATTAAACAGATTCGGCAGCAGTACCATGAATGCAAGTACACAAGAAGTTTATTCCAGAACACCAAATGCTACAGTGTTGGCCTCTACTGCTGCTTTTGCTAATCTCCTGTCTATAATGAAAGCACTCGTTTAGAGTGCATGACCTATTTTCAAATATTTTTATTTCTGAAGCTATGCAGGTTACATGACTGGAAACACAGCATGCATACTTCAAAACTATTGTTGCCCTGTGCCAAAATCATTATGTGGCCTCAACTAGCTCAGAGATTCCTAAAATTTTTGATACCAGATATTAAAAGAAGAAAGTTAATTGTGAAAGAGCTCACATAAATTAAAACTTCAGCTTCTTTTTTTACTTTGTTTGTATTATCAGAGCAGGCACGGAGTCTCCATAAGGAAACTGGACAAAAAAAAAAAAAAAGATTTCATATCAAGTTTTGAGGCTCAGTAATACCTGTAAATACAATTTGACATAATTTATTGTATGGCAATACATACATTTTATAACAATGCATTCAATTATTTGAGAAAACACTAATAAATCCTTTAAAACCAGGTTTCAGCCAAAGTACTTGAAAACATCACATGTAGTCTTTAACCACACTGTTATCTAAATTCAAATGAAGAATGCATCATGTTAGGAGTTGATAATATTTCTTCAACCATAATTTTAAGAAAAAATAAATATTTCACTCTACCTTAGAGATTGTACTTGGGCATCCAAGATATCGATTTTATCCTGATAAAGAAGCTTTAGTTTCTCCTTTAGAAAAGATGGAAGAAGAAAAAAGAAGAAAAAACAAAACATAATTGGGTCTTTTGGTTTGTACTTTGTACTGTTTTTACATATAAATTTAGACATTAGCCATATTTATTCTTTTTCCTCGAAGATATAAACCTGTTAAATCACTAGACTCAGAGAAATCTAAGCATTTCACATTTTTGTTAAAGTTCACAACTTGAATAAACCTCCCATTTCCTTAGTTCTACACAACTTGCCAGTTCCTCATACGATATAAATTCCTACAGCTCCACAAATGTCAGCCATCTACAATAATTTACAAAAATTAATGATCTTATCTCAGTTTTCCTTTTACTCTCCCACAACCCTACATAAACAAAAGATTCTTCAAGTAGAGGAGCTATTTTTTCATAATATGATAACATGCTCCTACTACCTGGGACTCCTATTACCAAGAAACAAATAAATCAACCACAGCAGTGATAAAACACAATGATGATAGCAAGCCAAAGAAAGCATCAGAAATTCAGCTCACTATGATGCTTAGAAAGAAGTCACAATCCTACAGTATTCCTACTTTAAATATTACTGAGGGAAAAAAGTGCATTTATTGTAAAAAACTAGCTGTCAAATTGGTGTTATTGATAATTGAATATGTTTTCAGCTAAACATGTGCCAGAAGCATGATTAAAAGCATCCCAAAACTTTCAATTAATCCATGTTTTTTCTTCCCCAAAAGATGGCAATGTCACCTAGTTCCTCTAGAGCAAATAAATCTAGAATACTGTCTATCCAGGAAACTGGATAGGCTCTGAATCACTAAGGGTTCTTGGTATCTCTAAAAGCACAACAAGTGTAATTCAGGCCAGGGAAGACAGACTGAGCAAAGCCACTTTCATACCTTACTGACCCTACTCTGCTCCAGAAGTAGGAAAACTCATTGCAAACAAGCTTGTCTAGAGGCCTGCCTAAAATACAGCAGCTGGTTTCCATCTGTTTATGGGTTGTGCTACTGCCAAGAACCTCCAAAGTACAGTGGAGCCATCACTGACCTGATATTCTTGAACCAAGACTTATCTCTTGGAAATCAACACCTGCAGCTACAGCCTAGCATCTGTGTCTAACTGGAGAATAATATTAATTAGTGAATGACGAGGAGATAAGGTTTAAGAGAGTAAAATTTGATGTTAAATTAAGGTTCAGCCAACCAAAACTCCTTCCACAAATTTATTACAAAATTGAAGCAGTAACAGTACTGAATGCTTTTCCAAAAGTAAAAAAATCCTAATACCAACCAGTTCTACATGCCATTTTTCTACTTCTCCAACAGTTTTTGAAACCAAAGCTGGATCTCTGTTACATGCTGATGACGATATAGAAGGTTGATGCAGCTTCAAGTCATTATGCCTGGAGTTCTGATTATTTGCCAAAAACAAAAATGTGTTAGTGCTTCAATTATAATTATGTACGTTGTAGTTTTAAACAAACAATAATTATGTAAATATTAAATGTTGTAAATTTAATTACAGTAAAATATAAGAACCAGTACACAAGTTCATTAGGTTAAGGATCTGTGATGATACAGGAATTCACATTTTCAAACTGTCATTTTGTTTTGACTAAAAGTCAGTTTGAAGATAATCATTTATTTAAGCTTTCCTTAATAGGAGTTGTTTTGCTGAACCCTGGTTAAAACAACAAGAGGAATAAAAACTTACTGAGGTATCTGGAAGAGCTTGTTCACCCAAGGTATATTCTGCAGTCAAAAATTTCAGTTTCTGATGGAGGTCTTCATTTTCAAGTATAACTACTCGAACCTGATCTTTCATCTCAGACAACTCCTCCTGTGAGACAGAGAAACTGCATGTAAAAGGTTCCTTAAGACAATCATCAACCTCTTGAGAACAAAGATTAGATAAATATTTTCAACTATTTCAGCTTTTTCAAACAAAATCAGAACACTCAAAAAAAAATAAATTTCTGTATAAAAACAATTCAAGTTACAAAATAATCATTTCTTAAAAAATACACTTATTTGTATTTGTAAGATGAAATGAAAACATCTTTGAAGGTCCTCAAACACCACATAAACACCAAGATGTGCAACAAAGCTCAGTGTTTGTTGAACTGTGGTTTACTCATTTTTGGTCATTGAAGCAATTTATCTCAAGACTAAGCACAAGCTTTTTTTTAAAGCAACTCTTCATAACTGGGGGATCAGGGTTTCAGTAGCTGAAATATATTATGTAATAAATACCTTGTAAAACTTCACTTCTGCTTCTAAATGGTTAATGTACTGAGACTGATCATTAATTCTAGGAATAAGATCAGAAGGGTCTGGTAAGTCTTCTGTTGCAGCTTTTGGGGTTTTCTGAAGGAAGTAAAGAACAGTGTGTGTTATTTTCTGGTTTACCAATTACTGCAATAAGAAGTCACTTGCACACAGCATACAGCGTATGCTTAATAAAAGAAATACACACCCCACCAGGTACCAGGTCATGAGAAAGGGAGAAACAGCAAGAAATTCTAACCCTAAATATGCCATTTCTGCCAAAACATATTACTGCTTGAATAAGCACATCTATAGAACATAACCATCAACCAATGCCCAAATGAAATTCACACACTATTTATTATTCATTTTAGACAAATGTTGGAGGGTATTTTCTTCTGTGAAATGAATATTGAAATATCTTGAATTTTAATTGGTATGCATCAAAGGATACACCTCTAAATGTTAGTTAATAATTGCTGCAGAAATACGAGTATGTCTGCAATTTTAATAGCCACAGAGAAACACAGGAAAATGTCTAACAAATATTTATCAAAGAATATGAGATTTTAAGATTCTATAACTTCACAGCATTTACAGCTAAGAACAGTGTACAAATTAAACAAGAGTATAACTAAATCTATTATTAAAATACCCTTAAAACCACAGTTGAAATGGTTTCACAAAAAACACAGCCTCTCTTTTATCCTATTAGCAAGAGTCCTTGGCCATCTGAAAACAGGATTAATTTAGAGTTGACATTACACACCTATTTTGCATATTGTAATTCATTCTGATCTAATTAATTAGTCTTAAAGGTCCCAGATGTAATTTTCAGGAATTAACTGAGCAGTCGGACACCTAAGTCTCCCAGACCTCATAAAAGATTCAGAAACCTACATCTTTGTTTTTAAAAAAATTATTTTTAAATATTCACAATCAAAAATAGAAATAAATAAATAAAAACATATATATATACATATATAAATAAAGCATATATATACACACACACACAGATACATATATACATATATATATATATATATATATATACACACAGATATATATTTTAAAGATTCATGTTACTATGGGGTAGCTATTACATCTTATACACAAAATGTGCATCTGGCAAGAAGAGTAATTGGTGGAAGATGTTTTATGTTCAATAGCAAGATTCTAAGATTCCCTGTCCAACATTTAAGATAAAAGCTTCAGGTTTTAAAACCAGAACTCTGTGGCAGGGGGTTGAAGCTTAATGATCCTTGAGGTCCCTTCCAACCCAAGCCATTCTATGATTCTATGCTGACATTTAAATGAGAATGAATAATCAAACCAGCAAACGCAACAGAAATTTCTAGCAACAACAGCCTTTTTCTCAAATTATACCCAATATAATTTTTGACCATAGTAAAAAAAGCGACCCTTGTTTCACCCAGAACTGCAGTTGAGATAAATACAGGGTTTTCCAGAACCATCCAGAAAAACACAAAGTAGACACTAAATTTGTAATGTAACCCACTTTGGCTGAGTGCACGTTCTGAGAGCAGTTCTGCTGCAAGGAGAATAAATTTGAGAAACGTGCATAACGGTGCCCTCTCCACTTGGCAGAGACCACTGCATTTTGGTACATACTTGGTGCTACATGGATTGACCATCTAGCCAATCCCAACCGTTTCCAAAAAAAAAGAAAAAAGGATGAACTTGCAGTGGAGTTAAGACGATGAGAAAATAAAGTAATGTGAATTGTCACCAACACACATCATGATCAACTAGAAGGAAATGCCTAATCAAGTATCTGAGATTTTTCTTCTGCTATGGCCATAAACATACCAAGTTCAGATCATATCACTGAGAATCAAAATTTCAGATTGTAAGAATGGCTCAGGAGCTCTAATTCTTCCAGGACAGTAGAAAACATACCACAGCATGCATGTCATTCATTCAAATAACACAAAGAAACAAAAAGAAACATACTCGGAATTGCATTTTTCTCCTTGATGGAGAGTCTTCACTTTCCATCTTCTCCTGATGTTGCAACAAAATTTTAAGTTGATTAACTAGGAAGAGATTAAAAAAAAACAAAAAAAACACACTGGTTATAAGCAAAAATATTGGTAGTACAAATGAATAAATTTAATATTGTTTTTAACATTTTTAAGCTGTTTGCCTTCAGAGTAATCTTACCTGCATGACTGTGCTGTAGCTCCTCCCAGGGTGGATCGCCACTGTTGTCACTGCATCTGTCCACATCATCACTGCCCTTGTCCACAGAGGACTGGTCAAATCCAACTTTATCCTTATTCTCAGTGAAATGCCTTTCCTCCAAGGCATATTTCAGCTGATGGATACTTTCATTAGCACGCTCTGCAAACAGTCATGTCATTAGCCACAGCAGACAACATAAAAGGAAATATTTTAAGTTGCAAAAAACTGTGAGAACTAAATGCATTCAGCAGCTGTCTAACTTGACTCCTTCATCTTAAGCCAGTCACTGAAAGCAATTACATAATGCAAACAGCCAAAACTACGACAGGTCACAACTTGAGGAAGCAACATTTACTACATTTCTAAATAATAAGTTACGAACAGAGTGTCAGCCTGTCAATACAACATGACTTCACAGCAGCACAAGTAGCTAGTATTAAAAATTGCTACTACAAAGCTTCAACTATAGTCAAACCTTACTGTATTTCAAACATAATGCTCATTCTGTATTTCATATAATGCACAGGATCAGTCTCTAAGGATTGGTGTAGTGATTTCTCATGGCGACACCTTACATGACAAAGCAATGCCTCATATAACTGAAAAATAACTGAAATAAAAATTCAGCAAATGCAGTCAACATAGAACAGAGATTAAATAAAGACATTTGACTTCTGAATGAGTATAAAAAATAAATAACGCTTATTCGAAACAAAACAAAAAACACCTCTTTCCATATAAACCAAAATACTCTATGAATCCTTTCAAGAATGGACTTGGTAGTGCTACAATAATATTCTTTTCTCATTTTCAGTGCACTGAACTTATTTTCTTTTTTATCTTTCTTTTTATTCTGCTAACTTCATGAAAATAGAAAACCATAAATGCCACATTATACCAATGTACCTGAACATTACCAGTATGTCAGAAAAGAAACTGGAAAAACTTGCAGACCGAGAGGTGAAAAATGAACAAGGAATTAGAAAATATGAGCCTGGCTTTAAACAACAGTATTTCTGGTCCACACTGTAGGACCTCCATCAGTTATTTCTCTTATCACTTCTTTCTTATCATCACCTATGTATAAATGGAGATTAGTAGTTTATTCCTTTTCCATGTAAGTGCACATACACAAACTAGACAGGACAGACAGGAAAGCAGCCTAGAGGAGTATGGCTTCCTGCAACAATCAAAAAGCAAGATCTCTGGGCTCTGCTGTAATACCAAGTGAACTCAGAAACACCTACCTGAAAATATATTTTGAATTTAAAAAAAAAAGTAAAAAAATCACTGTTCAGCATTTGCTGGTAGAACAAGCAAATGTTTTAGAGTATAAGTGCTGAAGGTTAAAAATATTAATAGCTCCTCTCTTCCAAACAGCAAAGTGAACAGCAATTCAAGTCGGAACAAAAGCTAAGTATGTATATCTAGCTTCAATTTACCTATCTTTTTCAAGTTCAAATACATCATCTTGACTAAAATTAGGAAATACTTTTTTTCCCTGACTGTAACAGTTTTCACAGTCCTTTTCTCTGCATTGCCATAACTCACCTACAGTTCATAAAATATAAATAAGACACCAATACCATTCTATTTAGGAACATGGCTTTCAACCCAGTGTGCCAGTTCTGTCTCACATTTTACTAATGCTAGTTTTTCCACAGAATCATGAGTTGCTTCTCACATATTAATCTTTCCGCAGCACTCATTTTTAAAGCCCATTAATCTTATGACCAGTCTTACCTCTTCTGATTTTCAGGTACTCCATACTCTAACCAAGTTAGTGTAAGAGAAGAAGCAAAAGCACATTTTAGACAGTCATAATTTATTATAACAAACCCAAATATATTTCACAAGGTGGTGGCTCAGGCAAGAGAATCTAGGTCATACATTTTTCTATTAGCTAATGGGCATAATTAAGTTACCCATTCTTAAGGATTACAGGATGTTATGAGACTGGGAGCGTTAATTGACAAATGGTAACTGTATCTCACTGATGCAATGGCTTGAATATTTAGTAAACTATGTTGCAATGAGTTGTTGCCAAAAGATATTCAATGTCAGCTAAAGTATTGCATGGAGAGTCATTTGATAACTAGAAAATGCACCTGATTTTCCTGTTCACTGTAGGCCTCTGTCAGAGAACCCTGAATTCTAGTTTTCCTTCTGTAGCAAGTGGGGGAAAAAAAAGAATAAAAACAAAACAAGGTACATGTCCATGTATATGCTTTCTTCCACAAAGTAAAGTGTGCAGGAGTAGTAGTGAAACATAATAAAAACATTATCTGTGACATGCTGATGTCTGTTTTTCGTGGCTAAACATTTCCTGTCCCTAGAATATTTTTGAAATATTTTTGAAAGCTTCATTAATATTTGACAAAGTTGCTTAAATGCTTTCTGGTTTCATAATTAAAAAGTCTGCTGCTATAAGGAAAAAGCTCACTACCAGGGAACTGGGAATTAGGAGCTTTCAATACCAAACAGCTAACATTCATTTGAGTACGAGTTGAACTAGACATATAAAAGGCTAAATGCACAATTTTTTTTCTAAGTACATCATTTGGGGGCATTAGGATAAAAGAATAAACATTAACAACTGGGAATGTACACATTTTACATTGATAAAAGCAACAAATATTCTTTCTAAGCATGAAAGAAGCAGAAAGAACCACTGTGGATGCAAACTATTGGAGACCGAAGCATCTTTACTTAAAGATCTCACAATAATTTTTAAAATGAAGCCATAAGTTTCTAAGTGCTAGCACAATCAGTCTACTTTTTCAGTTAGCTATTCCTATAACAGCACATTTTACAAAAGCTGCTCTCAGTAGAAATGCATTGCCCAACATTGCCTGCATATCTATTGTCGTATTCTTTTCTGCATTTTAGGACTTTACAAACAATATCTGAGAATATATTTCCATTGCATGATAAAATGTCATTGATGTCTTATCTCCCATAGGTAGAGCTAAGGATATAGATGAATTGCAGCATGGCTGAGCTTGGAAGGCATCTCTGGAGGCCATCTGGTACAACCTCCAGCACAGACACCACATCCAGGTGTAACACGAAGATCTCCACAACCAGATTCCACACACAAAAGAGCACTGATTGTGTTAAACATTCAATTTTAATTGGAAACAAATCAAAATGATAACACAATCTAGGATTTCTGAAAGCAGTCAAATCTAATATGCAGATACTATCAGCAGTGGGGAAAGAAAGCCTTGATCTCCGTTTTTTTTCCTTATGCTTTTTCCCCCTCCAGTGCTCATTAAGATTTTTTTTTTTTAAGTTGCCTACAGACATATAAAAGTAATTATAATATTTCCTACACTAGAGAGGATCTGATGCATCTTCATACTACCCATTAAAATATATGCTTGAAAACCTGCCTCAAAAAATATTTCATTTGTTTCCTAGAATGAAAAATATGAAATGTCAAAATATGTATGTAAATTCAATTTCAGAATTTGTACAGATAACTTATCTGGACTGAAAAGAAAATTAAAAAAAAAAAAAAAACAAACCCAAATCATTTTATTAACTGATAATGCTTTCTGTTTTTCAGTATTTAGTGGTCATGGCACCAAACCCGCTGGAGGTCAAGGAGTGTTTGAACAGCATTCTCAGACACAGGGTTTGGATCTTGGATGTGCTAGAGTGGAACCAGGAGTTGGGCTCAATGATCCCTGGGTTCCCTCCCAACTCAGGATATTCCATGATCCTATCACGAAAAAACACAAGCCAGCAACAAAACCTAATGCTCCCTTTTTTCTTTGACGTATCAGCTTTCATCTTAAGTATTAAATCTGGTTTAATACTGGTATCCTTTTTTCAGAGAAGTATCTTTATATAAATACAACTAGTACAAGGGGTTTTTTTTAGCAGCATGTCACTGCTACTGTAGAATGTATTTTGTTCTATTAAATTGGAGATATGACTGATGCATTCAACTTGTCAAATAAACAAATAAATAAATAAAGGCTAGAGTCAAAACTCTGAAATTAAATTCAACACAAAAAAGCTTGCTGTATTTCCATGTAAGCAGTACTCAGCTTTGGAGGAAAAAAATAAAATTGTGTGAACAATACATCACTGAAAGGAACACAGAAAAAAACAGAGAAGGCATTGAACCCTGTTTGCACCGCCTAAACAAAAGATGTTTTTTCAGGCACTGCCCAAGACTGTCTATGAAGAGCAATTCTTCAAATGAAAGCACCAAAGTTATCTCATTCATGTACTCAGAAGTGCCACAGAAAATACTCTAAGACCTAATGGAGAGCTTAGCACAGGAAACAACCATCCAGAACAACAAAATTGGCTGCAAGAGATGGAAAAAACTCCAGGTGGGAGAAGTGTTAAGGAACAGACATTAAAAAAAAATAACAACTCTGCAAAAAACGTTGCTTTAACTATCATCTAAGGACAACTGTCTAGTTTGTTTGTTTTTAATAAGACTAGTAGTCTCTACATTAAAAAACGTAACTAGTAGTATTTAAAATATTTACTGGACAGAGTAGCAACTGAAGGAACTGGGGCTGCTTAGTCTCAGGAAGAAGAGGCTGAGTCTTCACCTTATTGCTCTCTTCCAATATCTGAAAGGTGCTTACAGCAAGAGCAGGATTAGTCTCTTCCCAATGGTGACAGGATGAGGGGAAATGGCCTCAAGTTGTGCCAAGGTAAGTTTAGGTTGCATATCAGGAAACGTTTTTTTTACAGAAAGGGTTGTTAAGCATTGGAATAAGGCTCCCCGAGGAGGTGATTGAGTCACCATCCCTGGATGCATTTAAAAACTGTTTGAATGTGGTGCTCAGGGACATGATTTAGTGGAGGGTTGTAAGAGTTAGGGTGGTATGGTTAGGTTGTGGTTGCACTCGATGAGCTTTAAGGTCTTTTCCAACCTGAGCAATTCTATGATTCTATGATTTTGACAGGTTGATTAAAAAAATCCTCCTTCAAAAACACTGATTTGCACTCACCAGATTATTTGATAATATTGAAGCATCCTAGCTAGAACTGATTCTTTCTGGCCAGTCAAACAGCAGTGCTCATGACACAGACAGAGCAGAAGGCTCACAGGACATTCATGCCATGACCACCATAATTGATATGACTACAATAGCACAACTCTTACTCTGCAGCAGAAAATACCTTTCTGGGATAACTTTTGAACATAAATTCTATTACCTCCTGAGTATTTTGAAGTTCATTTGAAATAGTTTCAAGTGAAAGTTTACATAGTAACCTAATAAACCCACCGCACAAATACCACCCTCCTAACTCCACATTACACACAATGGTAAAGACTTTAATTATGCAAAGTCTTAGACTCATCAAGAAAATCCCTGCTATAAGGCCTTTAGTACTTCCATCAGAAATCCCTCTAGTGGGCTCTAGGACAACCTATTTCTCAGTCACACTTTTTGTCTGGCTTTCTGCCCTCTGGCCATCGTAGTTGGCTTGCTGAATGCTTGGACCTCCCTACAAACCAGTCTCCTGAGGCAATTCTCTTTACAACAAAGGACACTGCACTGAAGAGTAACCGGTAATCTTTGAGAACTTATACTCCCTTTCATCTCACTGAATAAGGCCATAAGAAGATTCTTCTGATCTCCAGAATGGATGGTATTAACCTCCTGCCACGTATCAGCCTACATCCAAGAGGAACTGCTGCAATGCATCAGCCTGGATCCACATAAGGTCAAGGACTGCACTTGAGGAACGCTGCCTATCAAAAACATTAAAGGTGCTAAATGCTACCTGAAATTTCAGAATCCCAATTACACAAATGATGAGAACTTGTACAAAAATCTCAAACTACGTAATTAAGACTGGAAAAGAATTAGGTTCATCAGCTCATGGAGCAATAAATCCATTCATTCCACGATGAATCATAAAGCTACTGGGACCAATGTGAGAAAAAGAGAGGGAAATGAAACAGCCAATAGAAAGCCGTGTTCTGAAGTGATTTAAAAACCACAGTGGATCCAGCGTGAAGCAATCCAGTCATTCTATATTATGAGCTCCTGTAAACAGTCCAAGATGCAAGATTATTGAGAAAGGCCCTTTAAAGTTACATGAAATTTAAAGCCATCACCTACAGCCTCCAGATAGCTTTGTACAAAGGCATGCTTTGAACTCTACATATTAAAAGTTTATGAGCTCATAATGACTATGAAGATGTACCTTTAGATATACAACAGTTCCCAAGCAACTCCAACAGATTTTCTAGTTGACAGAAAGTGAAATTTCAGTGGAACAGTTTAAATGCACAAAAAACCTAAGACAAAAAAAAAAAAAAAAAAAGGATTTGTGTTGCAAAATGCTACAAAAGCATATTTTAATGAAAAGCCTGGTTTGAATCAAGAAAAGAACCAAACTTACTAAACCACACACGCAAAAGAAATATTAAATATGTTAAAGCTTGGAGAACATAGGGAAAGAAAGCACAGTAGACTTGAACTTCAAAGGTTTTTGGCTTTTCCCGCTGTCACAGCCTAAGAAAGATGAGAACAGCCTATTCTGAAGGCAGTTCAGGCAGCTCAACGTAACCACTGTAAACATATATTCCCACATGCCCCGCAGGATGCAGTTTGAACAGAACAAGTTGCATACTCTGGAAGTTAAACGCATTAACACATCTGCTTAGATGAGAACGAACACAAGAAATCTGCCTTCTCCACTGCCCGCGTGCCACCCATTAAGCTTTACAGTGATTCAGGAGGCCAGTACTAACTGAGCATCAACGCCTAAAATGAAAAGGCAAGTCAGGCATGGCACAATTAAAGAACAAAATAGGCTTGGGGTGGAGTGGCTGAAAGCTGCATGGAAGAAAAGAACCTGGATACATTTGTCAACAGCTGGTTGAATGCCAGCCAGCAGTATGGTCAGGTGGCCAAGACCAATGGCTTGTATCAGAAATAGTGTTGCCAGCAGGAGCAAATAAGTGATCATCTCTCTGTACTCAGCTCTGGGGAAGCCACACCTTGAGCGCTGTGTGTTCAGTACTGGGTGCCTCATTAAAAGAAAGACACTGAGGCCCTGGAGCATGTCCAGAGAAGGGCAACAAAGCAAAGCAGTCTGGAGCACAAGTCTTATGGGGAGCAGCTAAGGGAGCTGAGCTTGTTTAGTACGAAGGAAGCTCAGGGGCAACCTTACTGCTTTCAGCAACTGCCTCAAGGGAGGTTGTGGTGCAGTAGGGGTTGGCCCCTTCTCCCAGAGTAACTAATGATAGGACTAGAGGGAATGGCTTCAAATTGCACCAGAGAAGATTCACGTTGGACATCAGGAAAATTTTATTCTCAGAAAGAGTAGTAATGCATTGGGACAGGCTGCCCAGGGAGGCGGTGGAGTCACTGCCCTTGGAGGTGTTTGGTATCATGTGGACGAGGCACTGAGAGACACGGTTGGTGGGATGATAGGGATGGGTTGGTAGCTGACTAGATGACCCAACAGGTCTTTATCAACCTTAATGATTCTGTGAAGTTCATTACAAAGCACCTCAGAAACCACCACCAAGAGAGCTGCAACTTGTTAAAAGCAGCCCGTGTGATCGCACAGGGCCACAGCTTACCAGACGCAGTACTTTAGGGCTCGTTCTAATTTCACTACAAGTTCCGACTCCCGCAAGCACTTGATGAAAACCTCAAAGCTCAGGAAAGACACCTCGGGCCGTTAGCAGCGGAGCGGCGCACTGCCGCAGCGCGTCCGACCACTGGCGGGCGCCCACCCGGTGCCGGCCCGGGCAGGAGCAGCCCTCCTCACCCGCCCACAGCTCCGCGGGCCGCGCTCACCTCGGAGCCGCCTCTGGTATCGCTGCAGAGATTCCTCCAGGGCGGGCTGCCCACGAGGCGCCCGCATCGGGACGCCACCGACCGCCGAGAAGGGCGCGCACCGAACTTCCCGGCGCCACCCCGCGGCACTTCGACCCGCGCCGCCTCCCCAGCTCCCGGAGGAGCCGCTACGCCGCTACCTTCCGTTGCTACAACGCCAACTACCAGCCACAGCCGAGCGCCCGAGCTGTGCCACGCCCCCAGCTACACGGCGAGCGGGGAGACCGCGGCGCCAACCACAGCTCTCAGCAAACGGCGCACGGCGCAGAGCGCGCTGGGAGGTGTAGTCCCCTCCGCGCACTCAACTGGCAGCGGGAGGAGGATACGCACCGCTTCGCTTTTCCCCTTTGTTGTGGCTCGCAACGGCCTTCGCGCCTGCGTACTGTGCACGCCTTCCACCTACGTCCCCGCGCCCGCAGTGGCTGAGCACAGCGCAGGTCCCGGTACGGCCGAGGGGGCGGATCCACGTTTGCCTCCCACTACCGCGAGTCGCGGCGCGAGTGGAGCGCCCATCGCGCTATTGTCTGAAGTCGGCGCAAGCGCAGCTCCGACCCCGCGGCTCTGCCCTCTGCGCCTGCGCGGCGCCGTCCGCCCTCCCCCCCCCCCCCCGCGCGCGCCCGGGGGGGGCCCGGGCGGCGCCTGCGCAGCGCCGTGCCCGCTCTGCCCGTTAGCCGCTATGTGCAGGGAATAACGTTGCCGCGGTTGCCGGAGGAACGCGGAACGGAACGTCCCGCCCCGCCCCGCCCTGCGGGGCCGCCGGTTCAACGAGCACCCGGCGCCACTACTACTAGCAGCGGGTCGACCCCGCGGCGCGGAGAGCCTCCTTGGAGGGGTGAGTGGGGACTTGAAGGAGAAGTGGGGCTGGAGAAGCCCATTGTGTCAGCGGGCGTCGGGCGGGCTGTGCCCCGCAGCGCGGATCCGGTTGTAGCCGCGATCCCCGCGGGGCTCAGAGGCCGCCCCGCGCCCCCGCCTCCATCCGCCCTCGGCAGCGCGGCGGGAGGCGTGGGGCAGCGGTGGGGCGGGCTGCGGTGCCGCCCCTCTGGCCCGCGCCGCCGGCACACCCCTGAACCGCCGCTGCGCCTCCCTCGGGGTCCGAACGCGCCCCCGGCGGCGGTCATTTGACGGACGGCGTTGCCCGGCGAGACGGGGCGACTGATGGAGAACGGCCGCCTGCGCCCTCTTCCCATTGTGCGCGCCCGACGAGGAGTGTCCTCCGCTCCGCGCCGTCCTCCCGCGCCTCCTCACTTCTCCCTGCGGAGAAGCGCGGCATAGCCGCCCTTCGCTGTGTTTCTGTGCGGGCGGTTATGGCCCTAGCCGGGTGCGCTGCGCGACTGACAAAGCGTCGCGCAGCGCCGTGCTGCCCGTTACGGCGTCACGCGGGGAACGGGCTGTGGGTGCGATGCTGCCGAATGGGAGACAAAAAGAGCAGCCCCCTTGTGACGGGCTGGGGAACACAAATAGCATCCCCGACTCGACGGTTTGAAGGTGTTCTCTTCGTTGCGAATTTAAACATCTAAGGGGTTTGCGGGACGAAAGCGTGCTGCTGGCACCGTGGTGGGCACGGCCTTCCGAATGCCGCTCGAGGCTCTGACAGCGCTCCTGGCCCGGCGCTCGCCCGTGTGGGATGGGGCACCTTGTGCAAACTGAGCTGAGGCATGAGCACATATGCCGTGATTTCCTGTGATTGATTTCCTCTGGGAATGGCTGTCCAGATGCTGAGGAGCCCATCCTGAGCTGTCCTGAACTAAGCTGTCACCATGGGAGCTGCTCAACTTCAAATTTTATTTAACAAAATTTTTGTCTGAAAGGGGTCATGAAGCCTGACTGAACGGGGAGAAGGGTATGGCTGAAGATGCACAGAAATCTATCAAAAGCAAAGCCATGAGGTGTTATTGTGGGTTTTTTCTGCTCTCATTTCTCAACTACTTAGAAGTTATTTGTAAAGGATCAGATACAAATATTTTCTCACCTTTTAAGAGAAATACTGTGGCATATAAGTAGTTACCAAGCTTCCTTTCTCATGGTAGTGCAGGGATTTCTTTGACATCTGTTCGAGATGTTTTGCAGGTGCTGCCTGCTTCCCTTATCTGGTCATGCTGGGCTTTGCAAATCACAACAGTTTCTCGTTATCTTGTGCCTCCAGACTGTGAGAGACGTGGCAAAAAAAGATTTTAGCAGTTCTTTTGTAACATACAAGCTCGAAAAGAACCAAGTTATGAAAGTGAACTGCAGAAGTTGATGTACTCTTGGGGGTGAAAACTGGGAGCTTCCCTGAGTGACAAGAGCCTAACCTAAAACACGAGTAGCTGCACAAACTGATTTTGAAGTTCCATTTCTAGTTTTTTGCAAACACAGGCAGAAAGGGCTTAATGTGAATGGATACCACAATGTCTCCTTGGGTCCCTAAATAGAACTATTGCAGTGTCAGCACCGTTGGCTCTGCAGGCAGAATGACCCTGGAGTAAAATAGACTAGTTTTACTTAAACCAGAAGGCCAATAGAATCTGAAATTCTGCTTTCCCAGTAGAAGATGTTGGACAGGAGAGCCAGGCATTGAGTCTCTTTGGATAGATTCTATCTGCATCTAACGTCTGTGAGCTGTTCTCTGTAGGACACGCTCCTTGTTGTGGTAAATATTGGCATGGCTGGGACCAGGAAACTGCAGATGAGGGAAGAAAGTCCTTTGTCTCTAAGGGATGGAGCTTCTGTCTGCTGAAGTTAGGTGTGTGTCTGTTCTACAGTGTCCTGTGACTGTGCCAAGTGAGCCTGGGAGGTGTCTCTCGCTGCCTGCCAAGTTTATAATGCTCTTACAGAGCACCTGCGCTCCTTCTGGTCCTCTGTTTGTTGTTCTGTCTTGCACTGTCATGTTCCTTGAACATCTTCAATGGAGTGGTGTACAGATAGCAACTTCCTTCTATGTGCAGTGCTCATGCTCCTGTGTGTCAGAGTCTGTGCACTGTGCTGAATGAGGTGGTTGTCCTGGGAAAAATAGAGCATGATCACATGGCTTGAATGGTAAGGTATAATGTATGCAAACAAGGCTGAGAGGAAAGCACAAACTACTTAATTAATCAGCTCTGTGAATGTCTGTTTTGTAGACACAACAAAATATTAAAATTACAAATGTTTGGTTCACTTTTATAATTTAGCTTCTTCCACTGTCCTCTTAAAGCTGGGAGGCTGTTTTTATTTTAGAAATGCATTTATAGTTAGGGGCCTTAAGAAACTTTTATTTCAAATTTTGTTTGATCTTCAAAAAATATATATATTTTTTTAAAAAATTAATTTTTTTTTTTTTTTTTTTTTTTTTTAATCACACATTATGTCAGAAGCAGTTTGTCCTAGAAACTTCAAATGAAACCATCAAAGATGGTTTAGTGGATTGCCCATGATTCTGGATTGCTTTGTTCAGTCTCTTAGATGGTTGAGTCTTTTAAGATGAGGCAGAGTGGCACTTGCCCATCTCACAGTGGCTGTGAATGGAGCAGTCACACTCACCTCGTCCTCTTACACTGTGAAAAGTTGATTCACATGACTAATTCAGCCAGTTTCTTTTCTTTTTGTTCTGTTTGAGCTTTTTTTTTTTTTCTTTTTTTTCCCCTTGGGTTAGCAAATTGAATTATTTTGTGGTGTGGTCAGAGGAGTGCTGGAGCAAGTACACGGAGTGGGGACAGCAACATCAGGTCTGGAAGAAAATATTGCATTTTCTGATAGCAGAGATCCATTTGGACTGCTCAGCTGTGCTCTCTGACAGTCTCCTGCTTGCTGCAGAATACTGCAGACAGGAAGGGAAATGTATAAATATCCAAGAAAACCACCAGGAGACTGGTTTTAGTTTTATCATTGGTCTTTGCTGTTCTTTATCTGTGAAAGGTTCACATCCACAATGTTCAGAACATGAAACTGGGTGAAAAATAATGTTTCTTTGAGTGTAGGTATGCAAAGAGAATTGGAGTGAGATGGTGGTTCTGCTAAGTGATGTGGCCTTTGCATAAGAAAGTTGTGAAGAAGCATGTGGTTTTTCTTTTCTTCAAAATTGTATTAAAATGCTATATGTGAAGAATGTGCTTTTACTAATTCAAAACAGAAACATCTTTCATTTCATCCTCTGAATAGAATACTCAGTAAAATAGGGTGGCTTTTTTCCTATGTGCATCTGATATATCAACTTTGTTTCTGCTCATTTAGTCCCTGTAGAAATGGCTATTGAAAAACAGGCTTCCCATTAGCTAGGTGCTATTCAGAGCTCCATCCCCACCCACTGGTGGGCCTCACAAGCTGACTCACCGCCAACAGCTGCAGTCCTCTTACAAAGGTCTAGCTTCTTCAATTTGTTCTGCTGTATTTGTGGCAAGAATTGGTGTTCTTGTAACAGGTTCCTTTGTCTACTTCTTTCCAATCTTGTGAACTAAAATCTTATTTTCTGAACTTCTCCGTGAAACTAAGATGATTGATATAAGAAGAATCTGCTAAAGCCTATGTGATGAACTTTGCAGATTTGGTATTATTTCATATATCATTCCTGAGATTCTGGTTCTGTTCCTTTAAAGTTTCTTTCAGAAAGTACAGCAATTATTGATCTTTTCAGAGAAATAGAAAGAGAAGTGATACCACTCCCTGGTGTTTCCGTGATCATCTTTGTGCGCAGGGTATTTTGCTGGTCTTCAGCTGTGGTTCTGTATGAAGAAAGAACTGAACTTGCAATCAATCCATTAGCTAACCATTGTGGTCTGGAAGATGCAGTACAGTGAATGCATTAAATCAGATGTATTTAGAACTCATCCCTCAAAATGACACACTTACATAATTTTCTTAATGATCTTTCTGTTCAGCTGCAAATACTCGGCTATCTAACTAGGCATTCTCAGTAGGCCTTTTCAGCTATCTTTTATTTATTGTCTTGTTACATTTCAAGAATTGGAATAAAAATCCAAGAAGTCAACATGTCATATCTCTTCTGTTTTCCCATGAGCACACATTTTTCTTGCTTTCATTAATCTCATTTCTAACCCTCATCAACCACCAATGACATAACTGATAATTGAGCCTTAGGCCACTATC